AAATTTAACAAATAATTCAGTTACAACCACACATTGAACACTTCGAGATATATCTTCAGAATTTAATTTTATAACTTCTATTTGGGTATATTTCGGTTCTATAATGAACAAAACTTACATGATTGATAAACACATAAACATGGGTAACCTGGTAGATAATTAATTCCTCATTATACCAAAAGATGGCAGTAAACGTTATTCGCCTATTAGAGGTTATTTCTCTGTTTTATATTACATTGTTTGAAACGCTTCATTACTCCTCTCCGTACTTTTTTTTAATGAGTGTAGTGTTACTTTATAGGGTCAGTAGAAATCTTAAATATTGACATAGAAAAATTGATGAAATTACAACATTTTTATTTAAAGAACCTTAGCCAGGGTTAAATATGAACGAACTGTTATGTTTTATAAGAAAATAGTATTCCTTAAAATAAATATGAATAAAGTTGTTTCTTATGTTTAGATAATACAATATAATGGAAAATAGACGTACCAACTTTTCAGATTCCTGTAATTACAAGTCCGTCCATTTTCCATTATATTGTATTATGTAAACATAAGAAACAACTTTATTCATATTTCTAACACAGGAAGAAACAATATCCAGTGAACTAACTAATGTGTACGAAACGTCAGGACAATCGTGTAGTAAAGAACTTAACGGACCAATTACGAAAGACTTGGACTGTAGAACAACAATAAATAACGAAAAATTATGTGCATCATTGGAAGAAGATTCCGTCAATGTGAACGCTGATGACCAACAACCGTACAGTAATGGTCAAGTTGAACTTCATGTGTCACCAAAAGAAGCTCTTAAAATGAAAGAATTTTACCTTTTATCGATAGTTTCTATTTGCTCCTGTCCATATGTCTGGAAAACAGTAAGAAGGTATTTTTGAACTAAAAATAACTTTCTTTCACTAATCAGGTGAAATTGTGTCAAAACAGTCCTGGTGTTGGTACTTAGTTTGTAACTACAAGTTCTTCTTATTTTATATTAGGTTTGAACACCACAATCAATATTTTCATGCATAAGGTTTTAGTTCCATGCAGTATCTCAAGATGGTTTTTGATGAGTATAATGTTAATTTATTTATGTATTCGTAGTTTGGGAGTTAGAAACTTTCATTATCTCAGAAAAAACAAATTAATATTAAGTTGATATACTTACCTTATAAAAAACATTCACAAACATGAATGGGTAAAAGACGTTTATATCAGACGACACGTTTCTGTCCACTATTGGTTCTTCACCTTGTAAGATAATTTGTCATGAATTAAGCCCACAATCACTCGGCTAAGGGCATGAACAGCTCCAGCTACGATTGTATACACTTTATACAACAAATATTACGTTAATAATTATTAATAACAATACACGTCACTTCGCTTTACACATTCTTTATGGCTCAGCGGTTAACTGGTTTGTAAAGCAAACAACGGGATTATGTTGTTCCCGCGGCAGGGATCAAGACCCGAATTTTATCGTTATAAGCCTTATATCTTGGAGTATCATTACACACATATATTTTCATTTTAGGAAACAGTGAAGTCCCAATCCCTAACCAGGTAACAACATAACCCATTATTTGCTTTGCTCATAAAACGAAAGTAAATCTCTATAATACTACTCTGAGATACGAAAACAGTGAAAAAATTTAAAAATAAAATAAAATTTAGAAAACCACTGTTTCGACAGAATGTTTAAAATAATTCAATATAACGCACAGGAAAGGATTATCCAAATAATATCAGCTCACATAACTAATCAGTCGATTTCATAAGTACTCAGTGTAGTTTTTTCCCAGTGAAATCAAAGGATACAAATGTAAAATATACTTAACACAAAATCAGGACAGAATAATATGTATGGATACTAAAAACCTTGTTTGTAATACACATTATAAAATTGTTCATTGTTTCTTTACCTGTGGTTTCAGGCTTCTTGTATTTTTAATTTGTTTTTTAACTCTATTTACATTGAGTTATATACTTATAAATGTATACTCTTTAGTTAACGATGCTCCTCTTGCTGGGAATAAAGACAGTATTGCTGTTCACTCTGGTGGCGACACCTTATGGAGGAAAAGTGGTGTACATGATCTGGATTTGTGGGCTCTTTGCTGCATCTCCTCTTAGTTATGTTTGTATTCCGGCTGCTGTTGCTGGAGTTTTCGGAACGAAATACACTGCTGAAATTTTTGGAATGGCACATTTTACGTCAGTAAGTTTAGATCAAGGATTACCAACAAGTTGATAAAAACACCATAATATTAATCTTATACTAACGAATCGTATCTTTGCAGGTATTCAAGTAAATGTTTCGCTAAAGAAATAATTCATCTATATAGATAAGTTTGTTTAAAGACCAACCTTCTTATTGAAGGTTTACTTCCATTAAAGAAATGTTATCTTCTAGATTCCAAAATATCAGAAATAATATTGATATCTTGCTACAATACATAAGGTAAACCGTTCGAGTTTTAACTGATATTTCATGACTTTATTCCAGAGAGCTTCTTTCTTTCTCTAGCCTTTAATTCTCCATCGTTTTACTTCATCTTTAGGATGGTTTGCTACGTTTTCTGTGACAGCGACTGTTTCATTCATAGGTAAGATAAGTCAGAATTAGCTCTTCTTATTCCGGGAAAAAAGTGTGTTCGCTTTTACTGTAATTAAAAAGTCTTGATTTCCTTATTTTCTCGTGATTTGTTTCCCTAGTATGTTTTCTCTATATAAGAAATCAAATTATATAACCTTGAAAATACAACGAAACCTTATTTCCAAACTTTACTGATGAAGCAACGTAACATGACTCAAGGTTTAATATTTACTTGTAAAAATCTCATAAATACTTTTATTGGAAAAGAGAAAAACAACCTATATTTTGGCAGATTTTATTTTGAAGTTTCGATCAAGCTATCATGAACAAAAATAAAGCTTAATAAATGTCTGAAATTGACTGAACTAAACTGTTTTTATAAAGTTTAAAAACTGTCGAAATTTGAAACGTTCAAGAGCAAGAAAAACTTTTATATTATTTATGTCCCAGGTGAACTAATTACATCTGGTATTGAGTGAAATGCACCGTCGGTAATAAATATGTTAGCCACCCAGTGGCACAGAGGTATGTCTGCGAACACACAACGCTAGAATTCGGGTTTCGGTACTCGTGGAGAGCAGAGCACAGATAGCCCATTGTATAGCTTAATTACAAACAAACAATAAATATGTTGGACATAAAGTGGTTAAAATATTATTATATACTCTTCTTCTTAGAATCTAATGGTGCAAATAAAAACAAAAGTAGTAATAAAATCACATTAAGCCTAATACTGCTGTCTTGTAGCGAATATAATTAATTAGCGAAATTAATTTCAGTTACCTAATGAATGATAGTATACATTGATTCAGCTTAATATCCATTATTTCTATAATATAAATTATAATAAAATACTTTATATATTAATCACATAAATCTTGTGATTGTGTAAAGATAAAGAATTTTTAATTTCATTCCCTGTACCTTTTTTTTTATCTTTCATAGGGATTCTTGTGACTATACTTTTCCCTGAAACCCATCGTACACAACCATTAATATCAACTAGTATTAATGGAGACAAAGAACAGATTCGTTACGGAGCTGTTAAATATCAGAAGTGAATTTCTGAGCATTTGTCACGTCTCTGTTTGAATTATATCTATTAATAGTGTTTCTAAAGTTTTAACACAAATTCATTATTTTTAGATATTGTTTATTAGTTGTATTTTGTTGTAACTTTACAAATAACTGATTTGGTGATTTACGTAATAAAACTGCAGGTTGTTTTAGTGTAGTATTTACTGAACTAGAAATTTAGGTATCACATATAAATATGGTAATTCTGAATATGGATATTGTTGCGTATCTGCTTGTTTGTTTCTGGTGAAATTCTTTCTGAGGATCTTCAACGATAAAAGTACTTTCTTGATTAAACCAGTTTATTCTTCCTCGATAAAACTTTTAGTACACAGTAGTTCAACAATCAGTACGTTTCTCGTCACTTTAGATTTAACAACTTTTATAATACATGCTATAAATCACAGCGATTCACAATCTCGATATCTTCGCTCTCGACGAGTGAAAAACACACACTTTACGGCTCACTAGCTCGAAACTAACAGAATCATAAATTACACGAAACCCAATGTAACTACTGCTTTCTCTTCATTTATCTCTTCCCCCGCCCTGGCTTTCCTCTGCCTGGCTTATAATACTAACGAAGAGGGCATCTCCAACACACTGGTACTTTCCCGATCATTAGAGAAACTCATTACGCACGCAGCAGCGTCACGTGACTTCCGCTTTCGTAACAATATGTTTTAACATCAATTTTTACAGCTTTCAACAAGTTTTTAATAATATCTTCATTAGACTTATTTTGCAATTTAACGTTTGTGTAGTATCTATTTCATTAATTATTATTTGGCCGTAAAAACGTTTACAGATAAATTTACTGTTGGCCTTATCGATAAATACAATAACATATTTCTTTTGTATTTTACGGATTTTAGCTTTAAATTAAAAAAAAAATTAAATCTAC